TGCACCCTTGATTTTGTCCTTCGATTTGTATCTTATTAATGTATTTGGCCCTCCTCTCCTTCAAGCAAGGAGCCTCCAGAACGTTGTCTCCTCTAGGTAGCACCTCATCTACCTCCTTGCCCGAAGCAGCGCTGCCTCCCCTCTAATTCCTTGCCTGAGTAGTGCCGTGTAGGTCCTCTGCTTCATCGCCAGAGCAGCACCACATCCTCTGCTTCTTAATCAACAGTGATATTTCTTTGCTATCCCCATGATATTCCTGCTACTATTTTAGTGTTTGCATTTCATGAAATGAGATGTTTCAATTCACTATTTCTATTGTGCTAGATTTTATTCCTGGTCTATATTGTATATCTCTTTGCATGAACTAGATAAAAATGGTATGCATTTTGCTACTAGATACTCCCCTTTAATAGAAGTACACTTTCTTTCATATGTTAGGCAATTATAGTGGAACTGGTCAAGAATGGACAAGAGTTGGATGGATAAAGCTAGAAACACACAAGCATATATTGACGGGGTAGTGAAATTCAGAGTTTGCTTTTACTCATTCAGCAAGAGGAAATGTTATATTATGTCCTTGTAAAAAATGCTTCAATTGTTGCTGGTGTGAAGCTAGTGTTGTCTATGAAGACTTGTTATGTTATGGGTTTATTAGTGGGTACAAAAGATGGATATATCATGGGGAGTTGCAATCACACAAAAAAATCATCAGGTCAGATTCATTGTACATTGTTTATACTTTGCTGCTCTTTATTGTCTAGGATGACAAAGTCACTTCCGCTTATCTAACTTACTTTTCATGCTTACTCAGAAAGGAAAGGATGTGATATTGTATAATGTTTATCGAGACAATGCTAGCCCAGTGGCAAAAGCAATCATTCTATCAATTGATCGGAGAAAGTTGGTAGGTGGTCAGGAGCTTGGCCTTGAATATTGTGAGGTTGTCGTGAACTATGTAATAAAAAGGGATGCTATACTACCTCGTGGTGTTGGGAACATGAACACCATGGGGCAAGCTCAAGGGCGGTGCATCGCATAGCCATACAAGCATGTGAGTTTTTGTTCTTCAGATTGAATTTACCAATGACTATCATGGTTGATTGCTTAAAAAGCTTTCTTTCTATCTTATGTATGCAGTTGGAAGTGGACAAGCCCATGGCAAAAGAAGGAATGTAACCACAAGCAAGCTGAGGAGGTAATATCCATGTTTCCAAGAATTTTCATGCCCTCAACTTTGTAAATATTTCCTATAGTACAATACTGAAGTTCACAAAATATTTTTCCTGGTTGCGTTCCTTTTACGAAATATTTCCTATAGGAAATTGTATGGTACTGATGCTTTTCAGTACTATAAATGTATTTCAGTATTGTACTATAGAAAATATTTCTGTACTTAAGATTCTAAATGGCAACCAGATTCTAAAGTTCAGTACTGTACAGTACTGAAGCAACCTGTACTCTGTAAAGTACCAAAGTTTACAAAATGAAAATTTGCATGCCCTCAACTCTGTACAGTACTGATTTTTTAGCAGATTCTAATTTGTTAATATCTAGTTGTACTGGCAGCTCCTTGCTCTTCCTACTCTGGCAAATTTTGCCTAGTTGTGTTGTTTTTCGGCGTGATAAAATAGATTCTTTATGATGGGTATTGCTGTTGTATTTCCTGAAGTATTTGGATTGACTTGTCCCTGCCCCCGCCTAATTGTACTGTTCAGTGTACTATGTACATACAATATACAGTCATGCCTATTTGTATGGAGTTTTGCCTATTTGTATGGAGTTTTGCCTATTTGTTCAATATATAGTACTGCATAGAGTTTTGCCTATTTGTACAGAGTTCAACAATCTGTTGTATATAGTACTGTAGAGTTTTAGTCATAGCTTTCGCTAGTAAGTTCTAAATTGTTTTGAATTGAGCAGGTTTTGCAAGTCAATTGTACATATTGGCGGTGCCAATACTGCTAAATATATGAATTTGTGCAAATTTGTTAACATTTCTACACATACATGCTAGTTTCAGCAAAAAGTTGGGACTACCCAGCTTGTACGTGGCTTCACCACTGATTGTACATGTTCTTGTTTTGCTTATTTGCAGATGGAAGATTTCTGTATGTGCACTTCAAACAATCCCTGCTTGATCTAATGATGTAACATTGCTTGTTGTGATGATGAAGTGTTGTACATTTACAAGAATTCTATTTATGCCGACTAGTTAAACTGCAGCATGTTGTTACTTAAAAAATCTGAAATGAGAGCTACATTTCGAATTTCCTGTCTGTTACAGGTTTCACTACAGAAGTTGACGGAGATTAGGAAGATCTTGAAGCTGCTGAAGATTTGGAAGATCGATGATTAAGTTGGAGGAGTGATGATGTAATATGCTTTGTTTGTTGAACCTGGACAGTTGCTCTGTTCATTTTGCTGGTTAAGCCCCTATATGCTCATTTTGGTTGTGTGGCACTCCCAGAAACATATGTACTTTCTCCTTTTGTGGCAATACTTTAGTTTGGTTGTGGAACATTTAACATATATGTACTGTATCTTTTGTGGAAAAACCTCCTTATATATATTATGTTTATCGGATGAAGTAAGGTTTTCTGGACGAGGCCTATATGTTACTTTGATTGAAGTGTATGGATGAGATGTATATGCTATGTGATTTAAGTGTATCTAGAAATTATGTAATATTTCATGATTGTTTGAACATAATGAATGGATATTACATTAGGGATGCCTAGATTAATTTGCCAGTGAAATCTACATGCTGGCATAAATACTGCCGGGTGAAAAGGCTTCTGCAGGCGGATGGACTGCCGGTAATTGAAGTTTCATGTGTTTTGACAAATCTGCCGGGAGAAAACTGACTGCCGGCAAATACAAGGGCAAGGGCAGAAAAACTGCCGGGAAGAGTTTATCTGCCGGGACAAGTAATCCCCGGCAGCCGTTCTCGTGGCAGTTCTATCTCTCGGGAGAAACGGTCTCCCAGCAGTTAGTCTGCCCTTTAAAGTGATTTCTCACGACAGATTACATGACAGTGCATCAGTGTTGTGGTGTAGTGACCATTGTAAAGCAGGTGGGTGTGAAGGATTTTTCGGTCAGAGTAAGACTTCGTATTCCCACATTTAGGGCATGGACAACACATAAAACCATTCTGCTTGTTTGCCTCAGCCACTTTGAGAAAATCATGCACGCCCTTAATGTACTCGGAGGTGTGTCTGTCACCGTACATCCATTGCCGGTTCATCTGCGTGCATTATATATAATTAAGTGTGTCAAAACCATTATAGGACATCATGAATAGATAATTAAGTTACCAAATTAATAGAAGTTCATCATCACATTAAAACCAAAGTACATACATAGTTCTCATCTAACAACATATAACTCTCCAGAGCATCTAATTAATTAAACCATACATTGAAACTATGTAAAACATTTCAATGCGAAAACAAATGCGATTATAATCGCAACCAAGGTAACAATTGATCCAACAGCATAATCATACCAAGCCTCGGTATGGATGGCATATTTTCTAATCTTTCTAATCTTCAAGCGCATTGCATCCATCTTGATCTTATGATCATCGACGACATCCGCAACATGCAACTCCAATATCATCTTCTCCTCCTCAATTTTTTTATTTTTTCCTTCAAGTAATTGTTTTCTTCTTCAACTAAATTTAACCTCTCGACAATAGGGTCGGTTGGAATTTCTGGTTCAACTACCTCCTACATAAATAAAATCTATGTCACGTTGGTCGGCATAATTGTCATAAACAATAAATAAACCAAGTAGTTATAAAAAGATAATATATATCACATCTGAATCATAGACAGGACGAGGGCCGACGGGGGCGGATACCAAAACCATCGCACTATATAATAACAAGCAATAAAATAGTAAGAAAATTAGACAAGTATCTATCTAAAGTAACAATTTTTTTTCTTTTAGAAAGACGATAAGAACAAGAGGCTCACCACGGTGGTGCCAACAACGAGATCGGCGCGGGCGATCGACGGCGGTGAAGACGGGAATGGGACGTGACGGGCCGCTAAACCTAGACAAATCTCGAGAAAAATGGAGCTTTGAGGTCGAGTTTCGATAGGAGAAAGCTTAACTAATGTGGCTCGGGCATTTCATCGAACACCTCATGTGCATAGGAGGTGAGCTAGAGCACCACAAAGCCCTCCCCTCGCTGGCCAGAGAAAAATAGAGCACTGGGGCGCTCTACTCACGGGCGAGGGGTATATATAGGCACCTCATTGGTCCCGGTTCCTGACATGAACCGGGACTAAAAGGAAGCCTGTGGTCCCGGTTCAAGCCACCAACAGGGACCAATGGTGGTGGGCCAGGAGCGAGCCCATTGGTCCCGGTTCGTCCCACCAACCGGGACCAAAGGGGCCAGACGAAACGGGACCAATGCCCCCACGAGGCCCGGCAGGCCCGTGGCCTCACGAACCGGGACCATTGCCCCCATGGGTTTCGGTTCTGAACTGAATCAGGACTAATGGACTGACCCGGCCTGAACCAAAGCCCTCTTTTCTACTAGTGGGTGAACTTCCAAAGTGTGACAACCTGCCAAATCTGAAGTTTTAAATACAGCGGTTCATTACACTAGTGGTTGATATTTCTCCAGACTACTTTCAGAGTGCGAGTACCACCTACCGAATCTGAAGTTTTTAAAATTTGTAGGTCCAATATCATCTCGTGGAGTCAGAGAGATGTCCAATTCAGATTTTAAGAACAGATAATGTAGAAGTGAAGCATGTAGTGGATTGCACTGCCAGGCAAGCAAATTATAGACCTGATGGTGCTGTGCTGGAGTTCTAGTCATCGCCTTCTCTGCTTTTAGGAGTAGTATATTGTCAATGGCAAGTCCACCCCCAGTTTGCATATGATCCATCTAAACCGGCAAAGGAGATGTGCCCATAGAAATTAAGAAGCCAGCACACGGTTCGCACCCCAACAATTCCAACTGGTGCCTATAAATACACGCACGTATGCACACACCAACACCCACAATCACATCAACTCAAGCCTTCATCTTTCTAGCCATCTTCTCTCTTACAGTCCTACTCAACATGGCTTCCATGGGGTTCAGCTACGCACAGGTACACGTGAAGCAAGAGAGACTGATGAGGAGGATCAGCGACATCAAGAAGGCTTCGGCAACGGTGACGGTAGACAAGTCGATGACCCAAGAAGAAGAGAAGATGAAGGAGCGTTTCATGGGTGAAGAGGAGAAGGCAACTTGCAACTCATGGACCGCCGGGAGGGTGCATCCGTGCGCTTCTTCCCCAGCGGCTGCGGCGCCAAAGGGTGGGCACCGATGAAGCTGGACGGTCATGCGGTAGTATTTTGCTATGTGGTACTCCCTTTGTTGGTGATCTAAATGCTTTTATATTTCTTTACGGAAGTAGTACTTCACTTCCTTTGTTGTTCTGTTCTAGATTTGTATTATCGTGAATTCGTGATCATGTTATGTTCTTGTCCGTTAAGGAAATAAAGCTTGTGTGTGTCATGATTAATTTAGTAAGGAGTACTTGGGCCCACACAACCTGTGTTTAGTAGATGATGAATCACGTGCCTAACTGAAATGCAATCCGTCCGCCATACAACATTCATCTGCACAAGTGAGCATGCATTTTCTCTCGTGCATGGGAGGTCTCATGCATGGATTAGTCCATTGATTATCACTCCGTATTTTTGGGTGGGTCTCCACATGCAGTTTTCGGCAGAAGTGGCATGCTCCACCCATCTGATCTCCCATGCCTTTCATTTTAACTTTCAATTTGAATCTAGTGTATCTTTTGAACCGAAAGTCCAACCTACATTTTGTTTGAATATTTGTTTTTCATGTGACGAGGGCTTTCAAATAAGACCACTCTTAAATACATTTTTACAAATTTTAAAATTTTCATGAAATTTCATCTGTTAAAACTTGACACGATGAGGGATAAAATCACCTGGTTTTAAATAGTAAAACTTAAAGCTCTAAACCCTAAACTGTAAAAACAAATGAAACTTGATAAAAACTTAATATTATAACTATTAAGTTTTAATATTTGAAATTAGTATAATTTAAAAGTTGTCAAAATGTTCGAGTGACCTTGTTCGAAAGTCCTCGTCGCAGCAACCATAAATATGCAAACGAAACTTAATTTTGACTTTCAAGTAAAAAATATAGTATATTCAAATTTGAAAGCTAAAATAAACAGCATGAGAGGTTGGATGGGTAGAGCATGCCATCTCTGCCAAAAGTTGTATTCGGGGCCATCAGAAAGCAATCAATGCCATGCTTGCATAGGAGATAAGCTTAGGGTTTAGGGTTCTAATCTTCAACCAAATACTCCCTCCGTTTCTAAATATAAGTCTTTTGCAGACTCCAAATATCACTAGTAGAAGAGGGGGCTTTGGTCTAGGCCGGGTAAGCCCATTAGTCCCGGTTCAGTCCAGAACCGGGACCAATGGGTGCATTTATCCCGGTTCGTGTGGCTAAGGCATTAGTCCCGGTTCACCTGGGCCCTTTAGTACCGGTTCGTGCCACGAACCGGGACTAAAGGGTGCGATGCCCATTGGTCCCGGTTGGTGGCACCAACCGGTACTAAAGGTTAGACCTTTAGTCCCGGTTGGTGCCACCAACCGGGACTAATGGGCTTTGAGGCATTAGTACCGGTTCATGGCACGAACCGGTACTAAAGGTCCCATTTTCAAACTCCCCCCCCTCCCCCGTGGACCGCCTTTTCAGTTTTAGAAAAAACAAAAGAAAATGATGGAAATGTCAATAAAAATAAAATAAAATAAGTTTCACATGTGATATGTGGTCTAGTTGTTGGGAAAATTTACAAATATGAATTTCGACTTTATTTATAAAATCTCTTTGGAATTTGTAAAATGGGCATAACTTTTGCATACGAACTCGGATTAAAAAGTTTTTTATATGAAACATCATCTACTCGAAAAGTTACATCCGATGGAGACGGCCTATGGCCTGTTTGCAAATTTGTAGAATCCTGAAATTCCAAAAGGAAAAAAAGTTATGCTCAAATTTCAGTTTTTTTAAATTTTCAGTAAATTTGGTCAAACTATGGTCAAACTACTTATTCAAGAAGTATTAGTGTTACTAAATAATTATTCAAGAATATTAGTGTTATTAAATAATTATTTCACCTTTTTTGAATTTTGGTCAAATCTGGTCAAACTGTGGTCAAACAATGGTCAAACTACTTATTCAAGAAATATTAGTGTTACTAAATAATTATTGTTTTTTAGAACAATAGTTTTAAACTCAAATAGTGAAATATGTGACTTCATTCTCAAGCTAAATTCCTGAGGGTTAATAGGATTGACATCTTACTATTGTTAGGAAAACAACAAGTGCAGACTTGGAAACGAGGGAGAATAGAACCCGGAAGTTAAGCGTGCTCAGGCTGGAGTAGTGAGAGGATGGGTGACCGTTCGGGAAGTGAGATGATTTGGAATGATGAGGGATGATTAGAGATTAAATTGAGCAGTGATGAGGGGTGGTTAGAGATTAGAGGTTAAAAAAATTCAGAAATTTGAAAATAAAAAATTCAAAAGAAAATTTCAAAAAAAAATCAGAAAATTTCCTTTTGTACCGGTTGGTGTTACCAACCGGGACTAAAGGTGGACCGGCCACGTGGAGGGCCTTTAGTCCCGGTTCTGGATTGAACCGGGACTAAAGGGTCAGGGCATTAGTACCGACACTTTAGTCCCGGTTCCAGAACCGGGACTAAAGGCCCTTACGAACCGGGACTAAAGGCCCTTTTTCTACCAGTGTATGGACTACACATTCGGAGCAAAATGAGTGAATCTACACACTAAAATAAGTCTATATACACCCATATGTAGTGTATATTGAAATCTCTAAGAAGACTTATATTTAGGAATGGAGGGAATAGATGGCTGAGGCTTTCACAGGACCTCTCGTGCACATGAGAATTGCTTTTTTCACAAGCACCCTTGTTTTCATAACACACATGAATATAATTGGGGGTTCGAATCCAAGATGTACAATTACACTCTTCACAACGAACATATAAAACATATTTATTAAACATAAAACCACAAGTATATTATGATGTGCTTATACTATGTCGTCGTCCCTTGTATAGTTTACTTCATGCCTTCACCAATACATTTCAATACAAGCCTTTTGTGATGTGAACAAATAGGCACATTAATGGAGATGCATGGTAGAGGAGCTAATTTATTATTTTCCACTGGTTAATATTTCAAATAACCATGTGCCAATGCTACAGCTTGGTTTCCCTACAAGAAGACCTTATTGAAAATGTTCCATGCATTCTCTACTGGAACAAACATTACAATACTACTGTTAAGGTGAAAATGTTTGTTATATTTTATTACTTTAGGAACGATGTTTAGCTGCCTTCTATTTTTCCTTTTTGACCCTTTTTGATCTTATGCAGGTCAATTGAAATTTATGTTTTTTAGTCACTGATTCAAATTATTAAGAACTAGTGCAGATTGGCAGACGCTTGAGGTATGGTATTCTGTATTTTTCATAATTTCTTTGTGTGATTGAAACGAACTTGTGACCATTCTTTGCTGTGGCTTGTTAGGTCAGTGGTAACGTATCATATTTGGACAGCAACTTCAGACCAATTTATGCAGAGCTTGATGCAGCTCCTTCGGTATGTATAACGTAGACCAAAAAATAAATCATTTACTATGTTGGCAAAATCAAATGGGAGATTTTACGGTGCATTATAATACACCAGAGCACATGTATTATATGGCCGATCTAACATATGAGAATAATTGGGCCTTTTTAAGCCCAAGGGTATTTTTGACCTAAATTTTTTTTACCATTAATCGGCCCAATTTGGTCCAGGGGTATTCTCGTCCTAAATTTTTTGATTAAATTAATTGCATTAATAAAGCACTTCATTATAGAGGTCCCATCATCGTGCGTACTCTTTTGAATTTCGGTTTGAGCGGTTCGTCCTCTCTCCTCCTCTCGAGCCCTAACCTCGGGCGCCCTCGATCGCTGCCGATCGCCTCCGGCGCCCTCGATCGCCGCCGATCGCACTCGCCGTGTCTACCCCTCCTGCTCCTACTCCCCCTCACTCCCTCCATCGCAAGTCACCCCAGTCGGGTCACGGCGCCAGATCTTCCGACAAGCCGCTAATCCACTCCTTCCCCGAGCGGACGCCACCTTCCCCGACCCGAGAGGCCAGATCATCCTCATCGACGTGCATCAAATTTTTCACGCCGGATCTTCGCTGTAAGTGCCTAGCCATCTCAAATCTTTTCTGGTCCCTTTTGCATATAGAACCAATAGGGGTCGGATTTGATTCGGGTTTAGGATATGTCATGTGAGGTTTAGGGTTTATCGTTTCAGAAAGTTGTGAGGAGATTTCGGTCGGATTTGGTTAGGGTTTAGGATATGTCATCTGAGGATTAGGGTTTATGTTTTCAGAAAGTTGTGATGAGATTACGATTGAAAGGAAGTGTAAGTCGGATGTAGCTACGACATATTGAAGGGCTTAGTTAGGATTATGTGGCATGAGAAAGTTGTCAGCATATTTGGATTCAAAGAAAGTTATTTTGGATTTAGTTAGGAGATACTTTTGAATTGAGTTTTGAGATATTTTGGATTTTGTTAGGAGATAATTATTTTGTATGGAGTTTGGACTTATTTTGGATTTTGTATGGAGATAATAAAAAGAACACCGAGGGGTCTTTCTCGGTGTGGGTGTCTCGCTCTTTGTCAGGTTGAGCTACAAGATAGCAGTGGCCTCTGGTTCGTCAAGAATTTTGTGGACAAGCATAACCATCTGTTTGTCCCTGCTGACCTGACTCCATACTTATCGGCTCATCGTAGAATGACTGACGCACAAAAGGCCGATGTCATCGAGTATGCTGTCGATGGACTTCGAACCAATGTTGGGGATATCGCTTATCGGGAACTTATCGGTCGACCTACGATAAGGGGTAAATCGGCCAGTTTATCGGCATATCGTCCGATTTATCACCATATCGGTTGATTTATCAGCTGATTTATCTTATCGGTCAGACCACGATAAGCGATAAATCGGCCGATTTATCGGAATATCGGAAGATATCTTGAACAGTGCTTCGAACACATCAGATTATGAATGTAATGGAGAAGAATGCCAGAGGTCCCGACAAGCTTGGATTTATAGATCGAGATCTATACAACCATGTTTCAGTCCAGAAGAAGCGCAAGATAGAAGGCAGTGACGCTAGATATTTGCTCACCTATATGATTGCATAGAAAAAAGCAGACCCAGAATTCTTTTTCAAATACACAAAAGACAGCGAA